TCTCAGTCATGGGGCTGAGACAACCAAAGAGTTTTGCTCAGATTTCACCCTGCAGACCCCAAGATCCACCAGACTGGGAGAAAATCAGAACTGCAGCGCGATTATTGATCATTTCCTCCTGCATGTTTCTGAACGCTCAAATTTAACCTCAGGAAATTAGGAAGAAATGTATAATTCATCAGATGACCAGGAATAACAACAGAGGCATAAGAAATATGAGAAATAAAGAAAATATCTCTCCTTTAAGGGAAAAGAACAACTCCTCATGACAGATAGCACAATGGAGCTCACGGAAGTGTCAGCCCCTCTGTTTATTCACTTATTAAAATGCACTTAACAAAGAAAGGACCCTGTGCAAGAAAATACCTCAGAAAGTAAATATTGGGTTGTCAGAAAAGTTATGATACATATTTTGCGTAGAAAACATAGAAAAAATACATCATGATTCTTCCAATGACCTAATATATTCATTTGCTAAAAATTCTCCCGAAAAGATACTAACCACAGGGATAAAAAGAACCATGTTAGACCACTGAAGTCAAGCAAAGAGCATGACATACGTGCTTAGTGTGCTCAGATTAATATTTTGTGTATATGTTCAAAGAGTCTCAGAGATAATGTGTGCTTTAGTTTTAAACACTCATGACCAATATTCAGAAAAAAATATAAGTTTTTTTGTCCAAGTGTTCGTGAATATAAGTTAAAAAATTATATTTGATTAGGATTAAAATATTTATAGATTTACACTATGCCTATTTTGTCAAAATATATTGTATAATATTTAATAAAATCAAATACATAAAATAAAATTTCAACACTATTTATACAAAAAAAGTTTTTGAGATTACCAATGAATTAGGAAAAGTTTAATATTTTTTTAAATTTTAATGTATTTATTTTATACCTTCAATCACTATATGTTACCTTAGCTTGTAAAGTGAATTTCACAACATGAATACACTTCAAACCAATCCAGTTGAGGATACTATCCATGTTATTAGCAGACAATAATCCATTTGGAAAAGTTTAATATTTAACCAAGGATTCTTTTTTTTAATTGCCAGGAGGGTATGTACACTTGCCGGTGAGAGGCAGAGAGAGAAGGAAAGAAAGAGGGTATCCCTGAAAGGGATAT